ATGCCCTTCCATAAGAGAGAAGTATACAGTTCCCTGCCTTTTTTTTTCTTAATTTCTTCACCCACCCCCAAACTGCTTTTTCTGCAAAATCTGGTTTTGGAGTTGGTTTCTCTACTCGTTCTGTATGCTCTACTTGGTTTCTCCATTTCTCTTTTAGTATGTTGAAGAGAACTTAGGCGTCATGTCCGTGGGGTTCTTGCTCAGTAGTCCTGATGATGCTGTCATCTGGAGAGGACCAAAAAAAAATGGTACATCTCGAGCGTTTTCAACGACGGTTGATATACTTGAAAGATGTAGTATCATGAGCTTGTTTAATTAATAACCTAAATGTAGTGTAGAGTGAGATGTAGGAAAGAACGAGTGAATGGTTCCTTACTTCCTTTGGCTGAGCCTGTTTGTTTGGTGACGTCAGAAGGTCAAATGCTGTACTGGGTTCTTTAAAGCGGTGGCAAAATAAGCGTTTACTTAGGTTGGCAAGTCAGAAGAATCTGCGTACCTAGACTATAACATTTGAAATGTAGGGAGATTTTTTTTTTTTTTCTCCCACATTCCTACCCTTTCTTTTAGGGTTGATCAAACAGTTTCTTCGGGACGTGGACTGGGGTGAAATCGACTACCTGGTTGTAGACACGCCCCCGGGAACATCGGATGAGCACCTGTCTGTCGTGCAGTACCTCAGTGCTACGCGCATAGATGGTGCTGTTATAGTCACTACCCCGCAGGTACGAGACCTTGGCTCCCGCTGGTGGCAGCGCTGTGGCAGCTGAAGCCAGTCCTTGCAGAGGCTGGTGAACTGGGAGAGTCTGGGGGAGGTGACTCTCGTGCCCCCAGCTGGCTGGTCTGTGAGTTCGTGTCGCAGTGCTGTAGGGGTCTAGCTGGGTCACCAAGCCACTGAGCGAGCGGTCAAAAGCTGCCGTGATCTGTGGAGAAGGGATGTGCAGTATTTAACTTCCCTCTTCGAGTGTAGAGTTCGCACCATTACAAATTTGTAATGTACTCGCCAGTGGCTTCAAGTTCAGGAGTCGGTAAGAAGCTTAGCTCTTAAGTGATAAGGCGAGCATTCTTTGACACCACGTCAAGCAGCCCATTCCATCCAGTAGGCGATTTGTGATGTGTGTTTTTAAAAGAAAAATGAGCCCCTGGGGAGCTGAGACTCAGAATACGCCAAATTCAGATGTGGGGTTGGAAGCTGGGTTTGGAAAGGAACAGGAGATCCAACTAGCAAGAGACACCTGGTATTTCCACAGTGACTGTAAGAATGGGATGTGGAGGAAGTGAAACGTTGAGGGCGATGTCAGGTGGGGGGTGGGGGAAGGAGAAGGCAGCAGAACGGGATGAGGTCGTGCAAAAAGTTGGAGGGGATAAATTATTTGAAATTTAATCTGATAAGAGATAACGGGCCTAAGCCTGGTGGTTCTTGAATGCCTGGGGTCTTTCTGTAGACTGAAACCGTGAAAAGGCTACATTTAAAGAACCAGAGTTAAAAGGTTAATGTAGGATCCAAAACATAAACACGGCTGAATCTACCAGAGTCAAGTCCCATTTCAAAACAACCATGTTCAGGAGGCCAGAGCTGTGGTATCTGTTCTGCTGCTGCTCAGAATTGTGGCGAGAGCACATAACACAAGTTTACGTTCTTCAGAATACAAAGAAAGTGGTACGATTTGTTATGAACTTTATTTAAAATAGCTCTAAGGATGTAACCAAATGGGTTCGGCATCAAAACGTTCCAGTCAGGATAGCAGTGTTTCCTCATGTTTGTAGGAAGTATCGCTTCAGGACGTTCGGAAGGAGATCAACTTCTGCCGTAAAGTGAAGCTGCCAATCATAGGTGTTGTGGAAAATATGAGCGGCTTTGTGTGTCCAAAGTGTAAGGTGAGGCTGTGTGTCTTACAGCGTCGTTTATCCTCATGATGTCTGCATGTAACGTCGCTCCGGAAACGCCTGGTTCGTAGAACTGCACTATGGTGACCCGTATTTTATGTTGTCCCAGAATGAATCTCAGATCTTCCCCCCGACCACTGGCGGTGCGGAGAAGATGTGCCAGAACCTAAATGTTTCCCTCCTGGGTAAAGTGCCTCTAGATCCTCAAATAGGTACCGTTACTATTGCACTATGTTTAAAACAAGTTTTTCCTCCTATGCCGATATTATGACTGGAAATCCCGAACTTGGACACTTCCAAATCAGAATATGAAGCATTTTGATCTTGGGTAAATGCCCGCTTTTAGACAGAACCTTTTTTGAATGAAAAGTCACTGGAACTGTGACATAGCACACGGTGTGGGAAGAGGAAGGTGGCAGGGTAACTGCCTTGGTCTGAAACTTACTCCTGAGTAAGGTTTGGCTGTGCAGCTGTATAATCTACTCGAAGTACATGTCTTTGGTGTAATCCCCTGGAAGTGCAGACTGAATTAGCAATTCATACTTGATTTAATGACGGCAAGGAACAGGTCAGACCTTCCACAGTAATGACTGAAGGTTTCTGCTAACAGTATTCCTTTGTAGAACTGCAGGCTGTGGTTCTGGTTACATGCTGACATAAGGACTTCTTAAAAGGAGTAGATGGGAGTGGCTGTTTGGAAGGGGATAACCAGCAGTGGGTTAAGGGTAAAATAAAGAAAAGCTCATCTTTTCCCATTGCTTTGCTTTCATGTTTTTCCCTGTCCTTCAAGGAAAAAGTTGTGACAAAGGCCAGTCTTTCTTGTCTGAAGCACCGGAGTCCCCGGCTACGTTGTCTTTCAGGAGTATCATTCAGAGTAAGTCTGCAGGTCCCTGTGCAAAAAAGCCCTCTGGGTTTGGAGCATTTCTGTAATGTATAAAGCTGCTAAACAGAATTATGTTGTTCTGCCACAAATAAATGCCATACACCAAAGACGGTGCTGTATGGCCAGATAAACCCGTAGATGTGCACAGCGGTTGTGAAGTAACAGATGCAAGTACTGTGTTCACTTCTGGCCGCCAGTTACGACAGGCTTTTAATGCGATAACAACTTGTACTTAAGAACTGGTTCCGGTACTGGCTTCAGTCATTCATCAGTGTTCGGAAGATCTGTGGGGGCCCCAAGTTCTGAGCCTCTCCAGCAGGCCTGCGGAGGGGTGCTCGCCACGGCTGAGGGTGGTCCAGCTCCTTATTGCCTCCACTTCCCATTGCAGTTGCCCAAAAACCCCCACAAAAGCGACACAAAGAGCTGGTCAGTGCAGTGCAAAAATGCAGACAGCTGGGCAATTCCAAAAGCCATTTCCGCTGCCCAAAAGGCCCAGCTTGGTATTTGTGCCAGTGGGGGACAGCATGATGCAGCAATAACTAAATCCTGGTGTGCAATGAAATATTTACATTATTTTTTTTCCCTGCCTTTGCAGGAATTCAGGAATACTGTGATCAACGCCATTTTCAAGAAGAAACTATCTAATCTATGAATGAAATTAAAATCTAGTTGATGTTTAATTATAGAAAAGTAATTTATGCCTTGATTTAACAGAAGGAATGTATTCTTTTTGTATATTGCAAATAAATTCTTAATATAAATGTTCTTGCCTTCATTTTTTTCCATAGTTCAGGATACTTGTAGTGCACAAGTGCTCTCAAAGCTTGCTAGAAAGCTATAAAACTGAGTCTTTATCCGTGCAGGCACAGTCTGCATCCGCGGTCAGGTACTGATAGCCTGAGTAGGAAGTTGGTGTTGGAAGACACAGGTGTACAGGATTTCAGTTAGAAAGGTGAATGTAAACCGTGCTTTGCTGACATCGGGGTGTTGTATCTAATGCATCTGCCCTGCACGTGTAGTGGGTTCTGTCCTGCCTTCTGCACTAGGATGCATTGCAGTGCCCACTCCCTCGTACTGAATAACATCAGTATCTTTTCCACAGAAAGATCTGCATTTGCAGTGGAATTTGGGGTAGTAGTGTCTCCTTTTCTTGTAACTGGCATCAGTTTTAAAATAAAAACCTCCCAGAGTACAGTATGTTGTTACAGGTGTCAGAATGACATTCATCTATTTCAGCTGTTGTTGCATACCTGGCTGCCTCACACAAGTACCGCGTGAATGTGCTACGTGACTTCTGTTCTTTTACGTGACAATACTTAAAAAATCAGTTTCAGTATCTTTAGTAACCAAGAGGCCTTTTGTGATGGTAATTCCTCTTTTTATTGAGAAATCCAAACTTTGAGAACTCAGTATTGTGTATAAGAGGGAAAGGCAGTTCCATTTTACTTACTGTAGTTCCAAGATTAAATAAATGAGTGTTTGTCTTTTAATGACATTCTAATTCTTGGTTAAGATAATCCAGCAGTTTCAGATTAGCTGACAGGTTTTCCCTTAGAGAAGTGTGCTCTGTATAAACCAGAAGCGTTGTGTTTGTGCCTACCCAAACCATTTTTTGATGACACTTTTCAGTAACAAAGGCTCTAGGCCTTTCAGAATCTAAAGACTCAGACACAAATGACAAAGTCCTTACTTCATGCAGGTGTAATTCTAGAAGAGCCTCATGTGAATATCCTCGTATGAAGAACAGCAGCTTTCGTGAATGAGTATTCGTAGTGCTCACCCTTGTAGCTCTTGATTATCGAGTGCCTGTCTTCCTGTGGTCTTCAGTGTGGTCTTCTGGAAGTCTCCGTGCCTGTCCTGTGGAATGAATGCAGGCAGTGTGGCTGTTAGCGTCACCTGGTCTGCAGGAATCTTTCACAAAAGGCGGGGGGGAGCCTGAGGGTTGAAGATAGCTACCCCCACCGTGCCTAGGCCGATGCCTTGGAAGGCATCCCTCCAGGGAGTGAACAGATGTTCTTCACGGGGCTTGGAGGCAGCTCAGCGCAGAAGCTTCAGCGGGCCTCTGTCACTCAGGGCAAAGTGACGTGGGCACGGCCCCTCCAAGCGAGCGCCGCAAGGGAGGCTTATTGGGGAATCGAGACAGCCCTGCCAGGAGTTAGTTAGGCGCTCAGGCCTGGGAAGCGCCAGGCAGGTCAGTGTGTGGTAGTTCATGCACTGGGGCTGACGGGCCAGCTCAGTACTTACGCTTGGCAGCATCTGCTGTGACAAAAACCTTCGAAGTTACTCTGCTGGCGCCTTTCCGTCCCCCTAGTTTGCAGTGGATGTAGCCGTATAAATTGGCCGTCTGAAGGGAGATGCCCGCTATCACCAAAGCCTGTGGACAAAGAAGCGTTCAGCTGGGACAGACACAGACTGTGGGTAGAACACGTATACGTAGATACACACACGTGCCCTGAGGGGGTATTCTGTGCAGTGACAAGTGACCCTCAAAGAGATCCAACCTTGTCAAAGCCAAGCACCAGTTCCTTAGGCCTCTCTATCGCAACACTGATACAATGGGTTTTTGTCATTCTGCATCCTGAAAGACTTCATTACTTTCCTCAAAGCATCTATTCAAAAAAGCATCTATTCAGTTGACCATTTCACTTTTTTTAAACCTGATTTGTATCTAAAAGTTTAGCACCCAGATACATAGCGAGCCTGCAGGCTTGTTCCTGGCCAATTCCTTGTATGCACACAGGATGCTGTAACTTCCAGATTTACAAGGAGCATGGATAGGTGTGAATCAGTATCTGGCGTGTACAGACAGTGAAAATGAGATCCTTCCGTGGTGCCATAGGCTTAGCAGCAGGCAGAACCCATCGGACTAATGGGATAACCTACAAATCATGTTTTTAGCCTCAGAGTTTCCTGGAAGCCATCGTATTTTTATTTGTGTAACTTGTCTTCTACAAGCACCCGTGCTACCTGCCCCCAGTGCTGGTTAGGGTTCCTTCTCCAACCAGCTCTCAGCTCAGCTAACAATCTCGGGTTTGAAAAATAAAGGTGGAGCCGTGGGGAAAGGCTGCTGGTTTAATTTTAAGTATTGCTTGTTGACATGCGATATTTTGGGCACCAGAAAGCGGCTAATGACCTGCAATTAGTTCATACCCATAGCTGAATTTCCTGTTCCATTTGAGAATGAAGTGCAGTGTTGGCTGTTGCTGGTTACGCAGCAGCACATGGGCAAGGCACTCCAGCGCTGCAGGCTGAACCGAGAAACTCTCCTGGGCATGGCCAGGGACCTGCCAGGTCACCTCTGGGGTGATTAACCAAGCACTGAATCTTTACAGGGGAAAACGACAAGATTCCGTAGCCAAAAATAACATCATACAATATAGGGGGTAAAATTCTTCTTCAATTTAGAAAAGTGTGTAATGTTGTTTTCTTCATAAAGCAGATGGCTTCTAAATACAGTATAAAATACAGTTCAATTTATCAAGGTTTAAAGCAGTGTGATACCGGTCCTTGCAAAAGGAAAAGACACCAGAGAGAGAGAGAATCCTTAATTTTAAGACCGAAGTAACATTCAAGTCCCAAGGAGATGTGAGAACCTGAAAACTCCTACCAGGTTCCTTTGACTGAAGTAAGTTGGGGAAAAGGTAAAAAGAAGTCCAGGATTCTGCCAACCACTGCAGGTTCTCAAGCTGGACAAAGGAGTTGCCATCCGATAACCTAGCAGAAGTGGGGCTGAAAATTACTGCTCCCTTCCAGAGCGCAGGGCTTGGCTGGACTAATCTGATTTCTTGAAGCTGTTAGCGGGATTGCTGTACTGTTGGAAGATTTGGTTCAAAACCTGCTGCAAAACTAACAGATCTGAGGTTTCCCTCCACCAACACTGTCAGCTGTAGGTCTTTCAGTACCCCCCGACTTACCAGCCATTTCAGCTTCAAGGAGAACAAGGTGCTAAAGAAAAACACGGTCCAAATAACTGGGCAGATAATGAGACCAAGCCAGAAGATTCGAGCTTCAGCTTCAGTTGAGGCAGCTATGGTAGGCACCTAGAAGGGAAATTATTGAAAATTCTAGTCGCAAAGACAAAATCCACGATAAATGACAAATGAGCAGAGGACGAGAAATGGACAAAATTGCTTCTTTACCTAAATTTCACTTATTATATGCGTGGACAGAAGGCTGAATAAGAAGAGGAGCAGCTGAGCCAAGTTTTCTGCCTGCAGCCCTACGGTATGTGACAGCATTTTCTTTTCAAAATGTGCCGGTCTCTGTTCATGTTTAAATGAAATATAATTCTTCCTCTTGCCAACGATCGCTCCCACTAGCACTACACATTAGTAGTATTTTAAAGTCAAAGTTCTGCTACGCTGACAGTTGCTTTTAAAATTCCCAAACACGAAGTTAGCTTTGACATTTGATCCCGGTTGTACCAAGGCCTTCGAGAAGTGTGCCGCAGAAGACAGCGCTGCAAGCAGACCTGTGGTGCAAGCGCCTGCCCGTCTGTTGTGTAGGTTCATGACACGTGCCCTGTTCACGAATCACAAGTGTGGGGGGAAAAAAAAGCCCAGTCCAGTGTTGGAAAAGCTATAGTATCTCACGTGGCAATTGCAAGCAGCTGTTGGAAGTGCTGACAAGCAAAGTTTAAAGATCTCCCATACGATTTATCAGTTGGTTCCACTCCAGACAATGGAATTCTCATAACAGTGCCCATTTCCATACCTTTTCCTCAAAACATGCAGTAATTTAGCTTAGTTTAATTCCTGCAGGAAGCTTTGTTTTCTATTCTGTAACCTAATACTTCAGTTTTGTTTATGAAGTCCACCGATATTCCATAAACTAAAAGAACTGTGACTTCAAAAATGCCTCTTCTGTAACACTAGTGTTGGACACCATAGCTGGCATCTCTTAAAATTCACAGTGCTCTATTTGCATTCTTTGAGGAGAGAAAAATACCCTCAAAGCATGCTACAAAACAACCCTGGATGCAGATTTCTTCAGGTCAGCACAGCTCATGTGTCTGTCTACACTGAACGGCGCAGGGTTAACTCCTAACACGTAGGAGACACTTTAAAAGAAAGAGAATTGTTCAGAAGGTTCTGAACTTTCCTAAGAGACCAGAATTCAAGATCTCACTCCAAACCTCAGACCACTCAACCACCGCTAGTGCTAGCTTCTGTAATAAAAGCTTCACAACAGGAAAAGAACAGCCTGTGGACTCTTCCACTTGGAAAAATGAAAAGCCTTCTAGTTCATTTTCAGTGTCTTGAATTCATGTAAAAACACGAGTCATGCATCCATCCAATATGAGGCAGACAGTGGAATCCAACACTTAGGTTACTCCACCTTGCCTAAGAAAACCCTGCGAGATGCAATAATTACAAGGTGTCTAATTTTTTCATGTACCATGTAAACCAGTGATGTTGCAGAGGTCCAGAGAATAATCATAGAATCATTCCGATTGGAAAAGGCCTTTAAGATCATCGAGTCCAACCGTTAACCCAGCACTGCCAAGTCTACCCTAAACCACGTCCCTAAGCACCACATCTGCACATCTTTTAAACAGCTCCAGGGATGGCGACTCAGCCACTTCCCCGAGAAAAATGTTCTTTGTAAATATAACTATGTCTCCATAGTTATAGACAAAGATGTTCTGAGTCAATAAAAGGGTTTAATCTCCTGTATCCCAAATTACCGACAAATTACCAACAGTAACATTGCATTAGCACTAACTATTTAGGAGAAAAAAAAGTCAATACACCTGAGAACTCTGCACCTAAAAGACCTGGTTAACTTGATGAGCAAGATTACAAAAGACTGCAGCCCTCCCAAAGGAAAGAGAGTGGTGGCAGTGTTTGGAATATAAGTGTAAGGGTTACTTTCCTCCCAGCAAACCTCAGCAGAAGCTAGGACTGCAAGGGTTAACTTCTGTTGTGTCTGCAGCACTCAGCAATTTGCTGCTTTTTGTTGGTGAGTGATTTGGAGTATTTCTAAGCAAATTTACCTGTAAAGGAGGAGACCTTAAAGAGGTGTCAGGGGACTGGCAAAGGAGGTGGGGGAACACCTGACTCTGGAAAGTAAGAGAATCACATATATTCCCAGGACCTTGCCATGACAAAGTATTTCCTCATGGATAAACTGTAACAAAATTACAATCTCTAATTATAGGTTCCTTCTTGTGATGCCATGGCTTTCATAGTACTCAAGCTGCTTGGTTACCAGAATCATTGGAAGGCTTTAGCTCACACAGGTGAGTCAACTTGGTACTGCCAGGCTAGAATTAACAAACTAGGCTTGCTCATTTTACAGTAATTTTGAGGTCAGGAGGTGTTTTTATGGATGCTACTGGTTTCAAGTGTTAAGAAAGCTCTTGATTACTGTCTTCACAGAACGAAAATTCTGGAGGTTTTCTAGTTTCTTTGCTTTCACGCAGGCTTTTCTACGCTGGCTCTTTGGGTTTTGGTTAGATTACGGGAAGGTTACCTGCCCTCTCCCCGCAGTCGCCGCAGGGCTGCTAGAGGGCACTCTTGACCCGCGCACCGGAGGACTGCATCCGGAGCTGCGCACCCGGGCGGGATTGCCTTCAAAGGGGCGTCCTAGCGAGCAGCAGCGCTTCAAGCGCTGTTCTGCCAGGCTCCTGCCGGAATGCGGCTGCGGAGGGAATGTTCGCAAGTGAAAGCGAAAACCTGCAGTCGTGACCCTGGCAGCGATGCCAAGTGACATTTTTTTTATAGCTTTTTTGCTAGGAGGGTTGGGGGAGCACTAGCAGTATCCGAATGCTCTGTGATCCGGATTCTATTCCCCACCATATTCCATGAGCATGAATAAAAGAGTCACTTTCAAATACTGAATCGGAGCTATTCAGCACCGCTGTCAACATAGACACAAAGAGGATGCTGTGTTGGGATTAACTATGGGAAGATATGTTTGTAAAAGATGCCCTCGCTGGTAAATAAAACAGACCTACGAGAACCGTTTCATACCAACAGCACCATGCTAGGAATATTTCTTCTTCTGGTGCACGCAATGACGATGTTGCGAGACCAGTTTTGTTCTGAATGCTTCCAGGATGCGACAATCGGGTGTGCTTGCAACTGAACACTTGCATTATCCTCTGTGGAGGCTGGATAAAAAGTAACTCTTACAAAGATCCTCCACTCATTACTGCATTAGACTTGGTATCAGCTTTACAATCTTCCCTATGGGTTGTTTGTCCTGTGACGACTCTTACTAACACACTTACCCTTTCTGCTTCAAACACCCAGTGGCTTTTTCCATCTTCATCAATTTGGTTCCACCAACGCAAACCGACCAGGAGTCTTCCTGTCACATTCTAGTGACAGAAACAAGTATTTGCATTAATTAGATGCTTGCTTCACTTGTCAGACTAACATTAAAAAAAAGACAGGCTTGTCTGAAAATCCCATTCTTTTCACAATTCATTTTAGTATTTGATAAAGCTGTGCCAGCTTGAGCACAACAGTCGTTAAGGATGGAGGAGTTGCCACAAATTGAGAGGCCTGTTCTCATCTTCTATATGATAATTAGCACAATGACACTGATTTAGGTAAGAAATTATAGGATGTATCTTTTCTAAGTCAGTCAGTTGGAGAAGCCTCCAATCAACAGATTTCCTCAGTAAGAGGACAACTGCAAACAAACACACTGATAAATGGAAGATTAATTATAAACAAGTAAACTGCATGGAATCAAGGAAACTTACCAAGCAAAAATAAGAAAAGATTTCTGCACCTGGATGAATAGTACAAGTTTTCAGCATACTGGAGATGCATCAGTACTTCACTTGTACAAAACAGAAGCCTTGTTCCACATGTGGAGCCCCTGGGATTCCGGGCTGGCCTGTCCAATCTGTACATGATTGGAGCGCTGGTGCCATAGCCGGGCTCCCAGGACCCTTCTGCATCTCCTGTGTGCTAGGTCTGGGCACAGTAGTGCAGCTTAGGATATCCTTTGGGATCCAGTAGGGA